TGTATGTTTGTATGTTTGTGTGTGTGTATGTTTGTAAGTATGTTTGAATGTAATGCTATTCCACAGCACGAGTGAATTATAAGATTTGTGAGACATTACATGATTGGACACGGATCGGCTGTTTGTTAGATGATTGATCGAATGAATGAGTGAATGAATGAATGAATGAATGACTGGATGAATGACTGAATGGATGATTGTATGTATGAATGAATTATTGAATGAATTATTTAATGAATGAATAAATAAATTTTTAATTTTGGTTATTAATTATGCACCATTCACTCATCTTTACATTCATTCATTCATTCATTCATTCATTCATTCGTTCGTTCGTTCGTTCGTTCGTTCGTTCGTTCGTTAGTTCGTTCGTTCGTTCGTTCGTTCGTTCATTCATTCATTCGTTCATTCATTCATTCATTCATTCATTCATTCATTCATTCATTCATTCATTCATTCATTCATTCACTGGTCGCAACAGCAGCAGCAGCAAAAGCAGCAGCACCATCTGTCGTCACCTTTTTTCCTCGTGTGCTATCCATCCACGCGTCATGTTCTACATGTCTTTGTTACGAGATGATGATGGTGATGATGATGATGATGGTGATGAAGGTGATGATGATGATGGTTGTGATGATGGTAATGATGATGATGATGATGATGATGATGGTGGTTGTGATGATGGTTGTGATGATGGTGAATATGATGATGATGATGGTTGTAATGGTTTCCTATATGTATATGCATACATATATATATACCAGTAAACTCTATTAAACTCTATATAACTCTATATAATCATATATAACTCTATATAACTTCATAACTACACATTAAAATACACACCAAAATACACACCCAAACACACACTAAAACCCACCAAAACACACACCAAAACATACACCAAAACACAGACCTGTTTAGTGGAGGAGTCTATGAGTCTAACGAAGAGGTCTTGCTCCTGTCTTGTACCATTGCTGAACATCAACTGGAGTCGGTAGTGGATTCCATTGTTGGTCTTTTGGCCTTCGTTCTCCTGTGTATGTGCGTGTGCGTGTGTGCTTGCGTGTGTGTGTGTGTGTATTTGTGCTTGCTTGCGTGTGTGTGTGCGTGTGTGCGTATCAACGAAAGACGCGAGTGTGTGTTTTAACGTGCCGTCAATTGACAAATCTCTAGATCCGTCATTCAATCAATCATCCGATCTATCATTCAATCGATATATTACTAACACCATTAAACCAACAAATTAATCAATCAATCAACCAACCAACAAACCAATTAATTAATTAATCAATCAACTAACTCTTTCTTTCTCGATGAAATCAATGAATGCGGTTCTTTCAATTTCTACGGGCTGACCGTGCCGATCATACAAGGCCAGAACGAAATGAAAGAAATTGCTCTTCCGTAGGTTGCTAGGGGGCTGTTTTTCAAAGTGCGCTCTACCCAAGCCCACACTGAAACAAAAAGTTTTCAGTTTTTTGTTTGTTCGTTCGTTTGTTCGTTCGTTCGTTCGTTTGTTTGTTAGTTCGTTAATTTGTTCATTCATACGCACCACACAACGTACATA